AAGAAACCTTTCTATTTACAATTGATATTATAGGTATAAACCACAAGATTGTCAGTAACTAAGTAAATAGATCGTTGCATATATGTAGTACACTGCAACAAGAACTAGTCCCTATCGTAGTTAAGACCAGCATCGGTCCATATCTGAGGCTTTGGATGGGGTTTTCATTACAAAGAATATATTAATTGGTAAAATGTGCAGAAAAAAGGCTAAACATATAGAATAGAGAAAATAATAAAAAAAAAATTAAAGAATAGAGAAAAATTAAGAGATAAATAATAGAGATAACGGGGTGTTAAAATATAGATTAAAGAGAACAATGGACAAAATAGATAAAGAATAGAGAAAATGGTATAAAATATTAAAGAATAAAGAAATGAAGGACCCCTTCCAGACCCTCATATCTTATACTGGCATCTTTCAGATGCTATTTTGAAGCTGTTACAATTAAATGATTCATCCATTAATAATCGCATTTTATCAATCTAATTGAAATATAGTTCTCTGATTTCGTATTCATATATACCTATATGTACGAGCATGCGAGTTAATATAGATATGTATTTTAATTAGATTGTCGCATTTATTTTATTTAAAAATCCTTTCATATTTATCAAAATGTGAAGGATCGAATTAAGGAACTAAACTATATTTGGGTTAGAGGGGAAACTCAGATGTAAATTATTGAAACTCGTCAAATTTACATATTTTTTTTTCACAATAGTTAATTTTTCTAAGCGTGAAACATATTTGGAGCTAATTGTCTTGTCTAATCAGTGAAATAACAGAGCTGTTTTGGAAAGATTTCAGAATCTGTAGACATATTCCTAACAACATTTCTAAGAGGATGTCGATGGCTACCAATTCTATTCAGCAATGTTATTATTGTACACATTCGTCCAGGTCTAAAGAAAATAATGCTAAAAAGTTAATTAAAATAACTAAAGGTCAATATTTTTATAAAGGATCTTTAAGTATTAAGCTTTAGCCTGCAACTAAATGCAATAGTAATGTTGTTTTTCTAATAGAAATTGTTAATATAAGGTCAAAATATAAATACGTCATTTGACGGAATATATTAAAAATTGATATTTGGTAAACAGGTACACAAGTCACTGGAAAAAAACATGCGAACAATATAGAACAGTTCAGGGAATTTATAGAATTGCATTATGTTAGGATGTAAATTAATTAAATGCTCCAAGAATGGTTGTTTAGATAAAAACGTATATTATTTTTCACTGAACTAGATGTGTATTACTTTGAATGTTTCTATTAAAATCAAAGGAGAAAAACAAATTAAAACCTGTCAAAATTTAACGAGATTGTAAAGATAAAACGGATGTACAGGTAATGTATATTATTCCAAATGTGTAACAGATATTGTTTTATTGTATGTAAACAAAATTATTTCCACATTCAAATGGGTTTGTGAGGGTAATAACTTTGATAGCAGCTCAACCACGAAAATAGGCGTCTGAATATAAATAAAAAGAGTGGCCAAACGTCAGTGAAACAGCAACTCAACGTCAAAAATAAGCAAAAGCTATCTAGAGGACAACATATTATCTTCAGCAATTTTTACAATATGACAAGCTCTTATTCAAATTCCAAGCTCATAAACTCAAAAATCAACGCAGGACTCCGTGAAAGTCCGGAGAGCCGACGGCCTTGCTTCGGAAGTTGGCTCTAATTAGTCCCGTACAGAAAATATCAAAGGTCTGCTATCAACATATATGATTTCACAGATATACGACTAAACAAAAGACTGACGAGGTTCAGGAATTTGAACATGAATATGTGGTGGATTTAAATTATTGTTTTAGATTTCAACCCTCCCCTTTTTAATCTTGATCAGTGGACCAACAAATGGTACATACATTGTACATTAATAAATCAGCATGCAATACAAATCAGTACAGTGAAAGGTTATTATTATCATACGTTATTCAGCTTCAGTGTAGTTTAAAGAAAATATTTAGTATTTAAAGACTTCTTTAAAAAAAACAATGTCAATCATGATAGGAAGCACAAACTCTTGAATATCGTATCAACTGGGAGATTTATACTCAATATGCAGGCGTCGTTTGAATGGAAAATTCACAATTGGGAAGCTGAATTCATCACTTTTGTCGTAAAGTTGTGTTCTCAACCGACACTCATTGTGAATTTCTAGATGTAAGTCAAGATATCAGGCACTGTCAGTAACTGCGAGTACTCTCAGATATGTACTTAGTGTCTTTTTTGTTGTGGGGATGAATAAGTACCCTGCCACGTCCGGTCTGTGTTTTTGTTAGATGTATTTCTGCTTTGTATCGATCCGATGAGTTAAGCCCTTTTCAACTGATTTTTATAGTTTTTTCTTATGTTGTATTGTTACACCACTGTCCCAGGTAAGGGGAGGGTTGGCGCCTTCAAACTAGTTTAACCCCGATACATTCTGTATGGGCCTGTCCCAAGTCAGGAGCCTGTAATTCAGTGGTTGTCGTTTGTTGCTATATTTCATATTAGTTTTTAGTTCAGTATTTTGTTCATAAATCAGGCCGTTAGTTTTCTCGTTTGAATTGTTTTACATTTGTCATTTCGGGGCCTTTCATAGCTGGCTATGCGGTATGGGTTTTGCTCATTTTTGAAGGCCGTACGGTGACCTATAGTTGTTAATTGCTATGTCATTTGGTCTCTTGTGGAGAGTTGTCTCATTGGCAATCATACCACATCTTCTTATTTTTATATCAAATGCATTTGTGGTATACTTTATTTCAAGTTCAATGGGATAGATGCGTTAAACATTGTTTGCAAACTTTGAATTATTTAATCATTATAGCGGGACATGAAGATGAAGGATTATTCTACTTCTTCTCATTCTTCATGAGAAGCTCCTGTATGAAGTTTGCCTCATATGAAAAAGAATCAAGTCGGCAGAAGAGGAACACAGTTGGTTACCATAGGAATGCCAATTGTTTGTTGAAAACCACATCCTCCAAAACCAACGAATATGTTGTCAATATAAAAATATAAAGCATTTTGATAATGTCAGTTTCAGAGAATAAATTGTTTGAAACAGAGAAGTTTATTACAAAATATGATGTATCCCTTACTTAAAGAAGATATTTGTATCTACGTTGGCCACTCTTTTTGATGAAAAAAAGTTGGACTAGCATATTTATAAATTGAGTGTATACAAAACTTGGAAATGAATGTTCGAAATACTAAGGATTTTCTACGCCAGGAATAGATTACCTCATCTGTATTTGGCAAAACCTGTCGGAATTTGTGGTCCTCAATGCTCTTCAATTTCGTACTTTATTTGGCCTTTTAAATTTTTTTGATTCGAGCGTCACTGGTGAGTCTTTTGTAGACGAGACCCCCGTCTGGCGTACAAAACTATAAGCCTGATATCTCTGATGAGTGTTTACACAACCACTGGGCCGATGACACTGCTTGTAGAGGTTTCCTCTCGATGGTATCACCAGCCCAGTAGTCAGCACGTCTGTGTTGACATGAATTATCATTGATATTGTCATATTTATAAATTATATGTTTACAAAACTTTTTTCGAAAAACTAAGGATTTTTTATTCCAGGAATAGATTATCTTAGCTGCAAACTTATTTAAATATAGATCTCTGATTTCGTTATCATCTTATAATAACGAGCATGCGAGTAAAGATAGATCTGAATTTTAAGCAGATAACCTTAGCTGTATTTTGGCAAAACCTTTTGGAATTTTGGCACTCAATGATCTTCAACTTCTTACTTGATTTGGTCTTGATTTTTTTGTATTCGACGGCGTCACTGATAAGTCTCTTGAAAATAAAACGCGCGATTGGCGTACAAAATTATAAGCCTGGTATCTTTGATGAGTTATTTCATCAAAACCTTTTTTTTTAACAAAGAATAGATTAATAACGTGAAGACACTTTGTTGAACAATTTAATTGCAATACCAATAATGCAAAAATAATACAATCAGCATATCAAATAAAGAACCCAACGATGATAATTTTACTTATTATAGCAGTAAATAAGTTTATATTATCACATATTTGTTACGAATACGTTGGGTTTTGCATATGTAATAACCTCAAAATTGCCCGGGGCAAAAAAGAGGTTATTGGTTATTGTGCCCTGATTCCAAATGACGTGACGTCATTGCGTCCTTAACGACAATGGCAACTTGTAACAATGCACAACCAACAGTTATAGATTTAGCCCCAATTATGCCAAATTCTGGCGTTTGTGTATTGCCATATTCCAAAATAAGTGGAAATGTGACAATAAATTTCTATGGAGTTATGATAAAAACTTAATTTGAAAATGGGATAAAACTTTTGTGATAAAATTTTTAAGATTTTACCTGTTATATTTCATTAAATTGTTATAATTGAACTTTTTTCTCTTTTCTGCAGAACTTAAATATGTGATAAATTGATTATAACATGTCTTTTCCATATTGGCCCTGGTATCATCCCTCGACCCATATCGTCCCTCGGCTAAAGCCTCGAGGCCGATATGGGAGTCTCGGGATGATACCAGGGCCAATATGGAAAAGGGCATGTTATAATCTATACTTATATTAATATCCAACCATCATAAAGTTCAAATGACAGTTGTTATTCAAACAACGTATAAACGCATAAACTAAATATATTTTTAATATAAAAATGCCATGCGAACGAGTGGTTGAAGGATTAAGGATATGCAATGTTGTGAAAACGAAAATTCAAAAACTAATATCTTTGTAACTTCTTGTTTTGTTTTGTTTTTCTTTTTTATTCCTTATATGACAAAAATCTCCGAATCATGATAAAAAAGTTCAACTGACAGTTTTAATAAAAACAACGTATAAACGCATAAATTAAACCCATGTTAAATATAAAAATGCAATTTGAACGAATGGTTGAAGGATTAACTACAAAAATGTTGTGAAGAAGAAAATTCAAAATTCAAAAATGTATATCTCTGTAACTTCCCGGGTTTTTTTTCTTCAAATTCTCATAATCATAATAAAAATTATTAAAATCGCAAATAAAGGTATAATTATTTCCCGGACGTCAACTTTTCCTTCCTGTTTCATAACCTACCATGTAAAATGCACATTCTATTCAAACTATATCAAGTTGATGATTTTAGAATTAAAACAAGGAATTCATCAGTTTTAGGCAGAGGATATAGTGTACTAACAAGTCTCTGATAAGTTAGTGTGGTGTTAATGATACGTTAGTGTGGTGTTAATATCCTTTCTGCTATTTAAAATGTAAGTAAGCATTATAATCATTATTACATACTTTGCAAAGGTTGTACAACTGCGTCTACTTATGAACTAAAATATCAAAAAGGAAATGGAAAATCAATGTATACAAGTTTAGTATGGATTAATGCTTAAAGTATTCGTTGCTCCCTTTTAAGAACCTTCTGCTCGAAGCCCGAGACAAAGAAACACTCACCTTCTCTCTCCCACCGAGGAGAAAGACCCCTTCCCTCCGCAACGGTCGCCAATGTGTAATCAGGATGTATAAGAAAGTCGAAAGGGACTTGAATGGTTGGTCCGTGGTATGAGAAAATTGGTAAGCACTTTTTCGGAGAATATTGGTTGGCACGTGTTCTGAGAATATTGTTTGGCACGTGTTCTGAGAATATTGGTTGGTATGTGTTCGGAGAATATTGGTTGGCACGTGTTCAGAGAATATTGGTTGGCACGTGTTCGGAGAATATTTGTTGGCACGTGTTCGGAGAACATTGGTTGGTACGTGTTCGGAGAATATTGTTTGTTACGTATTCGGAGAATATTGGTTGGCACGTGTTCTAAGAATATTGGTTGGTACGTGTTTGGAGAATATTGGTTGGCACGTGTTCGGATAATATTGGTTAATATTATTAATTCGTATATTTTAACTAATTTGATTCGTTCAGGGATAGTCACATGTTAAACTATATTTTCGAAGGTAGACAGAAAACGGCGGATAGCAAAAAGCATATTGCATAGCAAAAAGCATATTGCACGGTTATTTTTAGAATATCTAAAAACCGATATACTTTGTGACGTCATGTAACGAATTTCATGATATTCCGGTTAAAAGTTTTATTAAAAAATATATTTGATCGATTATTTGAAGAAAAAAAATCTTCAAATACATAAGATGTTAAAAAACAAACATAAAAAATGAATGAAATAACAACTAATTTGTTGTTATTGTTTAGGAGACAATAGGATATCTATAAATTTCCAACAAAATCAAACGACGATTTTCATACAAATATGGTCGGAAATTAATAATATAACAATTATAGCCTATGTATGAGGTCAATACAGGATATATCGACCCAAAGAAGTATATCGTTTGTTACTTGTTCGGAGAATATTGGTTGGCACGTGTTTGGAGAATATTGGTTGGCACGTGTTCGGATTAGAGCCACCGACTTCCTTTTTACAGTATACATCTTTCAAAGTGGTGTTCTAGTTTTTCACTACCAACTAGGTAACAGGTTGGTTAATACACAAAAAACACGAAGCCAATGACCCTATAATTATTTTATATCTATCCACCGGAAATTTATGTTTAACAAAATATTCTTTGAATTTTGAATAGGAGATTTGGTCTTTTTTTTTTAAATAATGAACGTTTTTCGCCGGTTTATGTGCTTTCTATACAATATTCGCCTACTTTGAAAGAATTTATTTCGCAATATTTCAGAAAATAAAAGAGATAAATATATTGGTTTTGTTGGATTTTCTGTTTCTGTTTTGGTGTTTATTGAGCCAAAGTTGTATGCAATATTTTACCTTAATCTGTGACATAGCTAATACCCTGTACCTTGACCCTAAGGATAGGCTCATTTTGGGCCGTTACTATAGCAGACCTGTACTGTAGTTGAAGAGTTGCCGTTGTCTATTGGGGTGTCGACTGTCAAATTTACTGGCTATGATACCATACGCAAGACAAGGCAATGCGAGACGATAATTCACATTGTTGTTAGATCGTCAACGCAAATTACATTTCAAATTGTATTAATGCAACAAGACCCAAACTTTACAAGATATATCTTACATTTTTTAAAGAAATGACCAGACATATTAATTGATAGTCCACTAAGTAGCTTAACTTATTATATCGACAACACTTAAAAAGTTTAAATCTTTGAAACTTCACGAAAGAAGACGAACTGCCTTCCTTTACTATTCATAATACCCAAAAAAAAGGTTCTCAAGTAACAGTATAAAAATAAGGAGATGTGGCATGATTGCTAATGAGACAACTAACCACCAGTCCAAATGCGATGGATATAAATGTGACAGACAGCATACAATGGCAACCACTGAATTACAGGTTCTTAACTTGGGCCAGGTGTCCATACAGACTAGCTTCACGAAACCATAAACATTTATTTTACCAATAATCAAAACGAAACTTATGGATAAGAGTGAAAGTACTTACTCCAGGCCTTTTGTAAATTATAATTTTGGGATTCTCAAAATTCCTCTTACAGTGCATACAATCAATATCCTTCCTTCTACATTTTAGACATTTACGAGATTTGAACATCGGTATACTACTGTCGCCTTAATTTACACAATTTTCTCAAAATGAAAGTTAAGAAAGTTTTATTGGGTAGCATTTGATTAATGTCTGTTATTTATTCACAACCTTTTAAAACTCGGAGTAACCATTAAGATGGTCGCCAACTAATTGCTTTAGGAAATATAAGTTATAAATATACTGTTTTAACATGTTGCTTAAATTATTTTTATTTTCTTTTTTATTTGCAGATTTGTAAAATATAATATGTACCTCATAGATGGAGAAGTATCAACTAAATTCTATCAATATTTATGCAATATTTTTGGTTTGAAGGAAGGGGTAAGGACAAGAAGAGAGATATTTGTAGCAATGGATTTTGTTAGCAAAGACAATAAATTTACCTATATAAGTAGTGGGAGTAAGTCAGAAGGCTTAGACCTTGCAGGTAGTGATAACGATCGGATGGCAGTTATTCAACTTTATCGAGTATATGGGAATGTGTATGAGATTCATAACTTTCAAAATAAAATGCCTATCGTAATGGACACCTTTGACGTAAAACCCGGATTTACAAAGCTCAAGTTATTACACGGATCACCTACCAGCTTCCCAGTAAAAGATTGCTGCGAATTAATAGAGGGTGATTACTACATATCAAGTAAACTTTTCAAGGAGTTTTCTTTACAAATGGAATTACCGGGAGATATGATAATTCACGGTCCATGCATTTCTAATTCAGATGCTATCTTTGATGGGACATACTCTTTTTGCTGCCAAGAATGGTTTTCTGCTGCTCACCCATGGATCTATAGATCAGGATCTTCGAATCTTTATCATGCTTTAATTACTTCCATTGTAGAATATGGAACTTTATTTGTTCCAGTTGGAAGTAAGGATTCTACAACTGAGGATCTTGAATGGCGTATATCATTTTCAGTAGCAGAAAAACATCTTATTATTTTTTCATTTTCTCACACGCAATTATTATGCTATGCTGTGCTTAAAATTCTTTTGAAAGATATAATAAAAGAAGAACACGGAGATTTACTATGCTCGTATTTCATTAAAACCATAATGCTTTGGTTGAACGAAGAGACTAGTTCATTATACCGGAGACCCGAAAATTTAATTAGTTGTTTCATAACCTGCTTACGTCGACTAATTTACTGTGTTAAATACAAGACTTGTCTTCAATATTTTATTCCTGATAACAACCTGTTTTTTATAGGTTTAAAGATTCACAGCATAAATGTTTATTGACAACATTACTTCGCACTTATAATCTAGGTTGGACTTGTGGTTTCCACACGGACACCTTACAAACGTTCAGATCCGTACAACGTACTATAATTCTACCCTATTTAACAGTTTCTTTCGTGCAATGTCTTGTTTATTTAGGGCATTTATCGAATGGTTCAATCCAAGTCTTACCGATACGATTACAGCGTGCTATGTTTGCTTGTGCATATTTTTCTTCTAAAGAAATTTTCCTTTACTTCACTTCCTTACTTTGCCAAAGATATGTGCAACAACATTTTCTACCAAATATGTCCGGAAGAAACAAATCATTTTACAGACAAGACAATAACTTATTGAAATATCTTAAATCAAATTTGTATACAGACGCGGCTTCTGGTTGGATATTAATTGCCTCATTTTTTTTATAAAAGAAAACAATTCAAACAAGGCATGTATATAGTAAACCACTGCTTATGCAAGCTAGCGCCAGGTAAGATTAGATTACATGGCAACAGTTCAATAGAAGAACAAACTGTGTTCCAAAGAAGAATACAAACAGTTGGATTTACGCTGGCTTGCAAGCATTATCTTTTCGCAGAAGTTTTTTTTTTCGAACCATTCATTTTATTACCAGAAGAACTGAAACCCCTTGAATCATTAAACCGACACGGAGAACTTTTTTTACCAGCAGTTGTTTATTTTCATCTTCTTCGTTTTCTTTGCCTCCATCATTTAGGAAATCACGGAGGCAAAATAAAAGTTTTTCAAGAACTAGAACTTACAGTGCGATTAAAGTTTTTCGTTGGCATCAATGAATATTTTGTTAAAATGGCAGACGTTTGTCTACACTTAGCTAAATGCATTCTTTAAATATGAAATAGAACCGGACAAGTTTGAACAAAACAGTTTTCTGATAATACAGACAGTTTTTTATATAAACAATCAAATAATGATAAATACGAAGTAAGGCTATATGGAACATGTTTTGTTAGGTAAATGTTTGTTTTTTTTAATTTCTCAGATGAGTTAGTTGTTGCGGACTGTTGTACTTTCGTATAATTAATTCGTGTTGCACTCATTATGCAGTATCAATTAATTAAAACACAATTAAATGGTATGCTATACTATTTAAGATAAATTTCCTACTGAAATAAAAACTTCCATGTATTGTCTTTGCGTCAATGTCACATTTGAGAGAGAGAGAGAGAGAAAATATATCAAAACAGTTACAAAAGTGAGATTTACATACACATTATGATACAGAAATATTATAAATATAAAAAAAAACGAAAACAGCACTTTATAAATTGTATGCGTGCGTCCGACGCGCTTTTCTGGATTTACCAGAAGATCAAGGATATGTTGCACCATCTCGTACTCTTTTCCTCGATTGTGACATAACTAAACACGACTATCACTTCCCTGAGAAACATGACATGTGACCAATTTGGAGCATGATCTGCTTCACCTTCCGGAGCCTCAGATCACCCAGGATTTTGGTGCGGTTCATGTTGCTCAGTTTTAGTTTTTTATGTAGTGTTTTGTAGACTTTTCATCGTTTTCATTTTTTGTTAGGATTTTGTCGCTCTCTCTCTCTCTCTCTCTCTCTCTCTTTAACTTATGAGTTTTAATCTCCCTTTTGGTATCTTCCGTCTCTTTCTCCAGCTATATGTAAAAGAAGTCATTTACATCGTGTGCATTAGTCAAAATTCTCTTGATATGTACTCGGGCCTCGGTGGTCGAAGTAGTCCAAGTACTGTATCACTAGTCTGTCAACACTGGGATTGTGAGTTTGTACTCCGCACAATGCAGGTGCGTTCGACTCCAATCTTAATTGACTAGGATTGTCAGTTTTCCTACCGAAGGTCGGTGGTTCCCTTCGGGCACTCCGGCGTCCTCCACCAATAAAAAAATAATCGCCACAAAACATCCAATCGTGCTGAATATGACCTTTTTGGTCATATAGTTCTTTACGTTTTCTCTTCTAATACATCATTTGGCTTTGAACATGCCTGATGAAGGTTAACCCAAAAATTCGCTTCGAATGCATACAATTTATAAAGTGTTATTTTCATTTTGTCCTTTTACTTCGGTGAATCTACCTAAAAATGTATCTTTTATTAATTCATTTTCCACTTGCTGTTCAGCAACTAACAATCAATCAGTCAGTCAATCTTCTATAATCTCAACTAATCGTTGGCAGGAATCATTTTGGTTCGAGTTTTTTCTTGTTGCTATGAAACGAGAGTATCATGGATTGAAGCAATTATAGATGTTATCAAAATTGTTCCTATGCTTGTAATGTACATTATCGTAGATAGTAAATTTTGGGTAAATAACGAACGTCGGGAACATTCCTTGATTTACTAGTAGTTTATATGAACAACATATAAAATTATCACAAACTAGTCAACAATCAAAAGACACAAAACAGAAACAAACATTACAAATCATTATATAATTTCTAAAAATATACAAAATGTCAAGCTCCGAATCGTCCCAAGCGTAGAAAATGTGGGAATAAATTTATGACAGACTATCCAAGCCCTTAATATTAAATTCCCAGCAGGATAAAACACATTACGTGAGTTATAATTAAGCAAAACTACTGACGAGGTTCTTGACTTAGGACAAATGCATGACCACATGGTTGGGTAAACTAGTTTTTGATACCTTTAATCAACCTTTCGCTATACAGCCTGATGTACCAGTCAATATATTTCAGTGAAGTGAGGAGAATGCTGAATTCAAGGTAAACATGAAATAAATTGAAATGACTGTCATTCAAGTTGGAGTTTTGGTAAGACCTCATGTAATGTTTGTACCGAGTCCAGTATTTGACAAACAATTATCAATTATTACCCCGCTTGAACAGATTTTTCTTGAAATTGGGTAGTATATGGACAATCGACATATTAAACATATCTTACTTCATTACGATTGTGATTACTTATTCTTGTTAGTAAATATCACTGAACAAAGTAGTGGAATTTAAAAGGTATCTGTGACGCCAATTTTGAACTTCAATAAAACGCTGCGTACAAAAGAACAAAATATAACACAAATACAACGAAACTATCAGTATTGTATAGAAGAAATAACTCATAAGTCCCCTGATATAAAAGTTGAATGATATTTCAAAACACCACGCTAGCAGAGGATGATTCACATCGATAAAACGAAACGCCTTACCTTCTTGCGTTTATTTTTACATCATTGTTGTTTTTATTTTGGATATTATATAATATAACATTTTTTGTTTATAATTAGTTATGTCTGAAGAGATTTAAACAGAAAATGTCATTATGTATTAAGTAATAATTCAACATATAAAAAACCAAATTAGGAAAATCAGTATTCAAATGATGCAGTTCATTATCCCTTTGGTATATTTCGCCGGTTGTGTTTTATTCAGTTAACTTTTGGATACCTTGTTATTCCGTTTAATTTCTTTCAATCATTCAAAAACACGTCAAATATCAAATTATTGCCAATACGCTTGTACGATTCCTTTATGAAGCAAAGGCCCGTCTTTGTGTAGAAAAAGTGCTGGCCAAACAATATATTTTACTTTGTTTCCGCTCTTGACAAATTCTTTGTATGTATTCTTGTCGAAAGTTGTGCCTTGCGTTATGTCTGCATCTAAATACATTACGGGATCTTGAATCACCATACACCAACAAAGACTTACACATTTTTCAAAAAATTGCATTTTCATTAGACGCTTCATTACGTCTCCACTTTTATAAGCATAATTCCAGTCATGCACAGCTGTTTTGCCGATAATCTGATTAGCAAGCAAATGATTCACAAAGTGGTCAGACTTCTGTCTTCTTTGTACGACTACATCTTTGCACGCGGGTAAATTGTAATAATCACTTCTAGAATTAACATTGAGACACAAAGTTTCTGAAATTGTTTTTCCAATTTTATCTATCTGTTCATCTGCCAATGATAAACATTCGTTGTAACACATTTTCAGTAGTCTACAAAGATGAAGTACCATTACTTCCTCTATATCTAGATGTTCACAGTCGCTGTAAAATGATTTTATGTCATTGATGCATTCCATAGCATCTGTCCATTCATTATCATACAATTCTCCATATTTTTCACCAATTTTCATTGGACGATTAGGATCTCCAAGATCGGTAATAGTGGGATTTCCCTTGCTAAGTTTCTCCCCAGCAACACTACTAAGCCGAGTTTGAAGTTCGTCTTTTTCTGTTATTAGTTTTTTTATATTTTCTTGTGTCTCTTTCTGAACCTGCCGGAGTTGCATTATTTCAGTCTCGCCTTCGTACAGCTTCAGCTGTAAATGATTGATGTTATCATCAAAACGTGCTTGACTGCCTTTAATTTCTCCTCTCAGTTGTAAGATATTCTCATCTTTTTCTTTGAGTAGTTTTATTATTTTTTCTTGTGTTTGTCTATTCACCTTTTCATTTCTATTCTTCTCGTTTTGAACTTGTTTCAACAGATCTGATTGATGCTTGATTTTAAGGGACTCTATTTCTTTACTGTGTTCTATTTGTAGTTTATCTTTAGTGTCATAGAGCTTTTGCTCTCCTTTCCTTGCATCGGATTCTTTAACTCCCAATTCAGAAATTCGCCTTTCCTTGGACTGTAGATCATTCAATAACTTGTTCATTTTCCTTATTTCATGTTGTTTTTGGTTTATGTCTGAATTCAATTCATTTGTCAATTTAGCCATTCCTTTCAGCTGCTCCAAAAATCCCTTTTCGTTTTGAATACCATGCTCTTTTAGCATCTGGAATTGTTTTATGATATAATTCATTCTATCAGCATACGAGTCCATGTGACTACTACCAAATCTTTTGAGCAGATTTTTTTCATTTACATGTATACAACAATCTTCCAGTTTACTATTGTAGTCTTTTACAAACTGGCACGTTTCCTCTGACAGTTGTATCATGTAATTTCTCTCATTTTTTAATGTTTCTAGTTCTGATTTTAGGCTCAATGCCTCCCTTTTCAACGATTCATTCTGTGTTTGAATTTCTTGATATTGTCTTGAAACCATGTCTGTGTTATTTATCTTTAGTGATTCATCAGATACTAACTTGTCAACTTCTTGATCATTCACGTCCTTTTGCGGATCTACATTTTGTAACTTGCCGAACTGTTCATCTAAATTTGATTTGTTTATTAATCCACAATGAAAGGTTAGTCGATCAGCGGGTTTAATTTTTTCAAGCTTATTCATTTGTTTTGCAAAATTTTGCCATTTATGCAAAAAAATAATTGGAAATACAGCTCTTGACGATTTTAATTCCGACATGACTTCCCGGACACTTTGTATGTCTCTTTCCCTTTCTATTTCATAATCTTTTAGAGACTGTTTGTGTTCGTTAAGTTCTGATAGAAGTCTATGTTTCTTCAATGAGATACAATCAATTATTTTTTTACACTGATTTTCTATTTGGTCAGTTAAAGTTTCTAGGAGTTTCTTTGTATCAGAAGTTGTTTCAATTGAACGTTTTTCATCACTCTCTGTATAATGTATATGTTCCGATTGTACGATAAAAACAGCCTCCGTTAATACCACGATTGTATGATCATCATGATCTCCTATTGTCCGACATAAATCACATATTAAATATTGACACTGAAAACAATATCCGGTCAAAGAATTAAGTAGTTCTCTGTGAATTTCACAGATATGACACTTACTGTCTTTGATATATTTACATGCATTACCACCATGGTGTTCAAAGCACTTACCACAGCACTTAATCCTACAGTTCTCACAAATCTGAATCAAATTATTAGACCCCCACATATTACAAGTCTCGAAATTATTCGACATTTTGATTAATAAATTTCTTGGTGAAACAGAAAGTGCATATATTATGTTTTATTCCTATTACCGTTTTATGTAAAAGGAAACATATACATTTAAAAACCCATTTCGTTCAGTTAAAAAAGTTTTTTTTTAAAATGTTGCAATATTAATATCGTATGACTGTCACGAGATAAAGTCTAAAAATAATTTTAAGTAAAATAGAGATATCTATAGTAGATAATTTAAGTCACGAGTAGGAACAAAAGTACAAATATGCATATGCAAGAAATGGCGACGTGTATATCAATATTAGAAAGGTACATGTCATGAATGTGATTTTGCAGATAGTATCTTTCAGTTTTTGATCAAAATGACGTATAAGCTACTTCTTTCTTTCGGTATATAGCCAGTGTCACATGTGAAGGGTAAACATATCATTGATCATGCCACTTCCTTTTTCTGACATTTCTTTAATATTCCAAATGCGGTTGCCTTTGTGATATTGTAAATAATAGACCATGACCTAGGAATTTGTAGTAAACGACTTTTGAATGAAAATTGTCTCCACGGGAAATTATGTACTAGACACTTTTTTGCTTTGGTTCAATAAAATATTGCATGTTTATTTTTTTCAGCTTTCCCCTTAAAAAATAATCACCACATACCAAAGAACGAGGATGTAAGCCAGTATGGGTCGTGCGAAACCAATACCTATGATTATAAACTATAAAAGGCTACAGCATGACTGACGAACACTTTATAAATTTCGTGCATCCGAAGATTTTATCTGAATTAACTTCAATAGGGACGTTTAAAACATTTTATAGCCAATGATGTATAAATACATAAAAACGACTAACTTTTCTACGGTAAAATTTCTCATTTCATCAAATGAGAATTTAAGAAAAGTTGGTTGTAAATTATGTTAGTACCGAAGCACTGACTACCGAGCTGACTATATCCTCGGGGATTAATAGTCCACCAGCAGCGGTATCGACCTATGTCTATTAAACGAAAATAACAGTTTATAAGTTTCGTGCGTCCAAAGTGCTTTTATCTGGATTTTTACCTTCATCCGTAACCTCAATCCCGTCCTCTTTCTCTCGATTATAACATCACTGTATGCGACCAATCACCGAAACTTTACTTACCGCTAGCTGCATGACAGAAGACGCTAGAAGAGCAGGAATTACTCACCCTTCTGGAGTAACTGAGTTCAACCCATGTTTTTGGTGTGGGATTCATGTTTTTAGATTTTTTGATAGTGTTTTGTGAATTTGTGTTCGTCTTTTGTCGTTTGTTTCTATTGGCCGTGGTTTTGTTCGTGTTTTTTTTTCATTTATTGTTTTTGACTGCTCCCTTGGTATCATCTCCTCTTTTTTTAATGAGAGAAATGTTGTATAAAAGGTTAATATTGAATTAAAATACAATAAAGATTTTTCTTACAAATGTTGATTCTCCCTAACAAACAAAAGTACCGGTTTCAAGTCAGCAACATGACATTTATTAATAATTTATTTCTGTGTTTACTACTTCTCCCAAAACTGAACATTATATGGATATTGACCTTTTAAAGATACCTGTAAGTTATTACTTATCAGATGACCAGGCATTCCCTGTAAATAACATACCTGGTCATCTGATACAATATTGACAGCAAGTACAGATTACAGTACGACAAAGGACAAGGTACGATGAGGCCCGTTTTTTGGCCCCCTATTTTCTTATTTTTCAAATTTTGTTTTGGAAAGCTACTTTTCACGTTAAAATATTCCCTTAGGTTTGAAGTTTGTTCGGATGAACTTCAAAACCATTAATTTCAGAAAATGGGCGAGGTGAGGGGGTAAAAGGGCATCAAAAACGCCAAAAGAAGGAAAAATTACGATTTTTGGCCATTGTTTCTTAAAATTTAATAGCGTGCGCCTACGTGACCCGGAGAAAATTAAGGCGATTTAGACAGCAAAAACAGTTCTCATGACATTGGAATAAAAAAAATTCTGAGTCACGTTGGCGCAGGCACTTAAAAACTAAAAATTCGTTGTACGGAACACCTGCAAAGTGAATAATAATTACAATATTTGAATAATAACAGAAAGTTTACCCCCCTCATCTCACCCAGTTGCTAAAATTAGTGGTTTTCAAGTTCACCCAAACAAACTTCAAACCTCAGGGAATACTTTAACATAATACGTAGCTTTCCAAAACAGAATTTAAAAATGAGAAAATAGGGGGGCCAAAAACAGGCCATATCGTTCCTTGTCCTTTACACGAAATGTATCTGTGATGCCACAAAATCAAACTGATTAACCAAACTATCAAATTCAAGTTATCGAACAAACAAAACGTATCAATGTTATATTCCGACAACCATTTGACAACCAATTTCTTTAATTAATTGGAGAGACATGTTAAATATAGCTTGATAAAAAAAATCATAGTTAAGACGGTGCAGTTCTTTTCCATTTCTAGGATTTCATTATTCACATATCTGTCCATGAAAGACCTAGTTTTCATCGTGATTTTTCTTTAAATCATTCGTAGACATATAACATGTTAAACTACTGCCAGAATGCTTGTACGATTCCTTTGTAAAGCAACGGTCCGTCTTTGTGTAAAAATAATGCTGGCCAGACAACATATTTTACTTTGTTTCCGCTTTTAACAAATTCCTTGTATGTATTCTTGTCAATTGATGTGCCCGGCTTTATGTCTTCATCTAAATACATTATAGGATCCTGAATCACCATACACCAACAAAGGTTGATACATTTTTCAAAAAATTGTGTTTTCATTAGAAGCTCAATTACGTCTGCACTTTTGTATGCATAATCCCAGGCATTCACCGCTGTTTTGCCAATAATCTGATTTTTGAACAGATAATTCGCAAAGTGCTCATGCCTTAATCGTCTCTGTGTTGCTACATCTTTGCAAAGAGATAAATTGCATATATCTTCTCTAGAACTGACATTGAGACACAATGTTTCTGCAAGTGTTTTGCCAATCTTATCTATCTGTTCATCTGCTAGTGCTAAGCATTCGTGGTAACAAATTTTTAACAGTCTACAAAGATGGAGTACGAGTATTTCCTCAAAATCTGGGTGTTCACTGTCGCTGTAGAAGGATTTTATATCATTTATGCATTCCATAGAATCTGTCCATTCATTATCATACAATTCTCCATATTTTTCACCAATTTTCATTGGACGATTTGGATCTCCAAGATCGGTAATAGACGGATTCCCTTTAACCAGTTTTTCACCGGCAACACTACTTAACCTTGTTTGAAGGTCGTCTTTTTCTGTTCTTAATTTTGTTATGATGTCTTCTTTCTCCTTAAGGAGGTAATGGATCCGAGTAGTTTCAACCTCGTTATGTTGAAGTCTCTTTTGTAGTAGATTTACATAACCCTCAGAACTTACAGTACATCCTTTAGCTTCCTCTTTCAGATTGTATCTATTTTCTTTCCTTTCACTAAGTAACATCTCATAGTTTTCTCGTAACTCTCTGAAATTTTTTTCTAATTTAGCAAAGTCATTTTCTCTTTCGTTCTGAACTTCTTTAAGTCGTTTTGATTCTTTATTAAGCTTTTCTTTCTCTTCGCTGTGTTGTTTTCTTGCTTTCTTCAATGTTTCATATAAGAATTGTTCTCTTGGCAATTCAGCAGATATCGACTCTTGCAATTGCGATTGCGAATCTTTCACAGAGTAATCTATTTTCCTCCCTTGCAACCTCATTTTATCATGTGATTTGTTGATTTCCTCTGTCATATTGACGTAAATTTAGTCGTTTGCATCACCCTTTATGTTAAGTCATTTTCTATCTGATAGAATCAATGTGTTGTCACTAATGCGGAAATACGATTTGCCGCGATTTTAATTCCTGTGAAGACAGTACCAATCCGAATTTTGGCAAACATTTTGTCGTTGAAATGCATTGTGTTTGTTTCTTCCATTGAGATATTTTCATAGAAATTATTTATATTTGTATCCATAAATTTCATGTCAACGGCACTTATTACATAACATACTTCCACAAATCAAGTCAAATTATTGGATCAACAACTCTTATACGACTCGGACTCCTTTGTCACTTTGTATTGTTTTATATCACTTCTTTTTTAAAAAGAATGTAAAACTTTTAAACATGATTCAAATCGTCGTAATGTGAATGAGAACAACACCTGTAAAACAGTCAATGACTTTCTGTTGAAAAGTCATTAACAAGGGTTGCAATATTGTTATCTACGTGTAACTGTCCCGAGACGTTCTCTAAAAATATCTTTAAAGTAAACAAATAACAATTATCCCAGTAATTATGAAGGAAGTAAGAAGTGACATATATATATTATGTATATTGGAATATTTTTAGTTATCAGTATTTTGAAGAAAAAAAACATAAAGGGATAAAACCAGTACTCTGTCTTTTATGTTATATATACAGGACTGCAGTAGGAAATCTAGTGACAAAATATTACCTCCCCTGTAAATGTAATGTTCAGTAAATTTGGTCCGGTAGTAAAATTTGTCTGCAAACTTTTTTTCCTAGTTAATAAAGTCCATGACCAATATTTTACTAGGAATGTAAGTCCCAGGACAAATTTTCCTAGGAAAATAGGTCCACGGCTAGTAAAATATGTCTAGCACTTATTTTCCTAGGAAAAATTGTCCTAAGACTTGTTTTTCTAGTAATTTTTATATTATAAAAATTATTTTAACAATATTAAAACATAAAAATTGAATTTCCATTGTTTACATGTAAATAATTTGTTTCATTAAAATTGTCCTTTTAGAATAAAGGACATGGACGTTTTTACCTAGGAATATTAATGATATGGACATGATTTCCTAGGAAAATTAGTCTGAGGACATAAATTTTATTAAAAAAATTGATACACAACTCTTAAACAATATAAAACATAACATTTAAATTTCCATTGTTTAAATGTAAATGATTTGATTCATGAATATTTTTTCCTATAAAAAAAGGACATGGACGTTTTATCCAGGAATATTAGTAATATGAATTCGTAGGAAAATAAGACATAAATTACTAACATCGGACTAAAAATACTAGTAAATTCTGTAACCATGGACTTTTTATACTAGAAATATATGTCCGCCCGGACATATTTTACCAGTACAAATTTATCTCTTACATAAACACTGAAAACAAGATTTTTTCAATGTTTGTCCCATTTTAGCAAGGACGCTATCAATTATATATTCACGTGAAAACGTTCTCAGTCTGGTAAATATAGAAATAAGTTGAAATAAAAACAAAACTTCCAATTAATGTTATCATTCCCCTCCTTAAATAGCAAACGACGAGTACAGAAGGCTAAAGGAGCTTCGTGATAAATTGGTTTATAATGTTGCTATGCGAATAAATTCCTAGAGTACCAACGTTAAACTATTTGTTTACTGGCTGTATACCTCTCTAGGACATGCTAAATATTCGTTTATATATGCAGCTAGATCAGAGAAAGTAAGGGGGGAAATTCAAAGGAATCGATTGATATGCAGCACAGATTGACACTTTTGAGATTAAAAATGATTTAGTTACAAAGCAAATTCAAACGGACCTTATCCCGAAGCAAACATCGAGAAGAACGCAAATACAGAACAAAAATCGAGACGACCTTTTCTTAAATTTAAAAAAAATAGTAAAAAGATACCTCCTTTATAAAAATATTTATCTTTAACTTTTTAGCCTGCACAGGCAGACTCTATATGCTGTTGTCTGTTCTATGGTCGGGTTGTTGTCTCTTTGACACATTCCCCATTTCCATTCTCAATTTTATCTATATTGTTATATTCACGAAAAGACAATATTTGTATATTGAATGTCCATGTGACAAGAGCAGACCGGTGTACTCGCAAACTTAGAATGTATAAAATAAGTATATTTTGTGGAGATTGCAACACGCTAAGGGCTTTGTGGAACACTCCGAAAATTGGTGACCTTAAGGATCTTTAGATTTTGTATGTACATGATTTTTTTCCAATTTGTGTTTATAAATTTGCAGCAAAGATTAACAATTTTTAGATTTCAGTTTCACAAGCTTCTAATGCTTCTAAAACTTAACATAAAACATCGTGTATTTGCATGTATATTTCTAATAACACAGTTTAACAAATAATTTCTTTAAAATGTACAATTGTTATTTAGAAATAACTTTTGATCAGTATGGTCACCGGCATTGTTTTATTATTGATTTTCTCGACTCTATCATAAGAAGAGTGAATTTTCTTTTCTTCTTTTTCACTAGATTTCCTACTGACTGCACGCTACGTGAGAGATTTAGCTAGCTATAAAACCAGGTTTTATCCACATTTTTTTAAATAAGGAAATGCCTGTACCAATTTCAGGAATATGACAGTTGTTTTCCATTCGTTTGTTGTGTTTGAGCTTTCCATTTTAACGTTTGATAAGGGACTTTCCGTTTTGAATTTCCCTTGGAGTTCGGTATTTTTGTTACTAGTATTTCACTTTCTACACAGTCTTATGCATTACACTAATACAAAGTTTATATGAGTACACTATACGATATTTTCAGGACTTGGAATTTGGTATAAGCACCAAAAAATTATAAATAAAATCTAACCAAAGTCGAAGGGATGGCCATATTTCTATATCCCATTCAACCCTTTGCGTATCATAAGATTCTGTTAGTTTGCTATTTGCGATGAATATATTCCATGTTCCTTATTTTGAAAATCGTTTGGGTAGGAACGCCAATCACGGTCAACCTGGAAATAAACGATTTAGCCACCACATGCAAATGTTTCTGGAATAACATACATTATGTATGCTCGAGACCAAAACTTTGGGATAATACGTTTATGAGCATAAACAATATAAAAAAATCCTTCTAAAGCTAGCTCTGTCTACTGATCATGAAGTTACAACCTTTGTTTTTAATACAAATCATATACTAATAAAGACTGCTATGTATACATAAGAACTGCACGAGTTTATCACTTTCAAATTCATATCGTTCTCACAGCGGAATTGGGGGAGCTGTTGTGATATAAAAATTTGCTGAGTCCAGCGCCCTAGACTACTTGTCCTACTAGTTAATGCTTTCGTTTTTTGGACGATGCCTTTCCTCGTCGGCTAAATCTAAGTTTGAAACACGGTACATCATGACTAGTGGTATAATGATATCCTGGCGACTATTGAACAGTCCACCAACAGCTATACTGACCAAGTATTGGTTAAATCAAAGAATATTATTGATTTTAATGCGCGTGTTATATGTTTCTTGTGCAAGATACCAAAGGAATAGTTTAAAACCATAAGTCAAAGAAAAGCCACCACCAATATTATAGTAACAACGAAAAACAACGAAAAGACAAACAAGACTCCACATAACAGTACATAGAAACTAAAGATTTAGTAACACGAATACCAAATTCCGGTGTGATCTCATGTGATCCGGAAGGGTAAACATATCCTATTTCACAAGTGGCACATGTCATGCTATATGTGAAGCATCACATTTATCGGGTACGCTCACAAGAAAAAGTTTGGGAAGCTAAATAAAAACAAATCTGTTAAACATAAAATTGCCTAAACGGAATAGCAAAAAACATCTAAAGACAACTTTTTATTACTCTAAGGTCAAGCTCGCCGAAGTTTATATAAACATAGCAAAATCAGAGATCTATATCTTACTTAGATTGGCTGTAAACCGCTCAAGAGTTTCTAAAAGTTGATAACAAATTAAACAAAGACTCCCAAAATCAGCCATCAACACCATATTCGACATTATCAAAATACATTATGATATAACAAAAGACAACTATTAGCGGATCCTGGCAGAGGATTTTACATTCTTTATACAAAATGAACATACTAATACTTGGTGTTTACATATCAATCATTAGCGCCAAATTGATTCATGCAAGGAAGCAATCCTCCAATTTATACAATATTTCAACGTAATTTAAATAACTCTGTGTAAGTGAATCGTCATCGGTTTGCTTAAGTAATAAAGTATTTAATTCATAGATGGTTTCGCAAGAAAATGCTTTATTAGAAAGAACTATTGGTCAAATTCATTTTATTACTATTTTTGCTTGCATAGAACAATCAAAGATGTTATACATTCTAGTGTTCATAGTATCTGGTGGTTTCAACTTTGCAGATTATGATTTTAACTGCAATTTATATACGTATTACATATAAAACAATATTTATATTAATATATATATATATATATATATATATATATATATATATATATATATATATATACTTGTTGTAAAATGTATTGTGCATCACTTATATATGAAAAATACAAACTAAAAAATCTAAATCAAAATCCTTTATTGCAAATTTACAAGTAACAAATTATGCTATTAACCAATGTTTTGCCATTTGCAGCTGATTCTAGACCTGGGGTCAGACGAATGGCTATTGTCTATGTCGGCCTCAGTTCTACGTTTGTGTAAAATCTCGCCATTTATAATATCCACGGGAGACAGGTCGATATTTGGAGGGACACTATCATGTGCCAGAACTGTCGTTAGCCAATCATTGCTATTCATTTGTCTTGTAGATTGGTTATACAAACGTTCGTGAAAAACTGGCTGCGATGGGATTCTAGAAATATCTGAAAAGTTAAACGGGAAATATATTAGTTTTACTGAAAAGAAATAAGTGCAAAGATCTATAAAACAATAAAGATCTTTTCAGTTTAACATGTTTAATGGTATGCCTATCATAAGTTATCACACCTTAACGGTGGTTGTTTCCTTCTCTGTTTGTGTAGAAAGCTTACTAAATGGTGATATAGTTATGCCAGTCCGATCATCATAGAATATCATGAATTCTCAATTTTTGATTTTATCGTTATTTTATAAAGATGTTAATCTTACTGACAATGTATACTACCCCATTTTATTCAATTAAAAACATACCAAAAAATGAAAACAACACTTTATAAATTTCTTGCATTCGAAACGCTTTTTCTGAATTTGCCTTCACCGATTACGCTCAAAGTCTAATATTTGAAAGCTAATGATGTATAACTTCGTACTAGGGATTCGCGCAAACAAAAAGGGCCCAAATTGTCTGCATAAAAGTGTTAATATTCACAATTTTCTATATAACACTTTTGGTTACAGTCAGAAAGAATATTTTTCCACATTAAAATCATTATCTTGTAGTTTTTGGGGTTGTTTTTTTGTGTATTTGTAGTAGTCAAATATTAAGGATCCTCTTAGTGATGTAAAAATATTTCATTTTGGATCAATCTTACCAATTATCATTAAAGATTTCCAAGTGAATTACAAAGTCTCGTTTCTTGCTAATAAAACTCGGTTTTTCTTTTGCAGCAAACTCATTCTAGAGGATTTTACAAAGATCAAATATTTTCATAAACAGCAGACCGGTATGTTTGACTAGTTGTTCAATATATACCTTGTGAAAATCTTCTGTTTTGGACTTCTGGTTCCTCGTAACTTGTTTCTATTGCATGAATATGAGGTGATGACTTTTTGTCCTTTGCTCTTTTATTTTGGAACCACACTTGTATTACTCTATAGTCTAGACGCAAATCTCTGCTCAATCGTCTTCGCGCTTCACGGGATGGTTTTGGATTTTTGTTGTAAGCTTTTGTCAAGCATTGTAACTGTTGAGGACTTATGCTGGTTCTGTGTCGTTTACCACTTCCGGTAGAACATTCTGAATCACTATCGTCTTGCGAATCTGAAAACAAGAAAATTGCAAATTTTATTTTTAATAGTCAGAAACAATATTAAGTCGACTCCATTCTAAAGCTGGTGAGTATAATGGTTTCATATCTCGGTACTTTATTTGACTAAATACCAATATTCAGTGAAAATTTTAAAAAAAAAGACATGCCATTAGTTGAATATCCTTTGTTTGGGAAGTCGCTAACCAACTACGACGTTTTACTTTCAATTTAAGAATGAAAGAAACGGGGAGAGATCCCCAATAACGCAGACCCCCGATATCAACAACATGAAACAAAGACAAATGAACAGAAACAAAAACAAAAACAAACAAAACAAAAACTAATGAATTAACTAATGGAAGACAAATGAAATAAACAAACATCTCGAGGTCAATATATGATTCAGTTTCACACAATAAGACTTTGGGTTCTAAAAAAGCGAAACTGCCTATAATTAATTACAATGAACTATAAATTGAGAGTTGCTAAACTTACCGTTCATCCGCAAGGTTCGGTAATCATCACCACATACCAGTTTGTTGTCGTCTGAAAGGTAAAATTGTTCTCCCGTCTGTAATGGACGATAGCAGACGGTACACTTGAAACACGTCTGATGATAGACGTTTTTCTGAACTCTCTGTACATACTCGTTATCGGACAGAACCACTTTACAGCTAGAACACCGGAACGGCTGTGATCTGTATAAGAATATGAATATCAAGTAAAACGGACAAAAAATATGTTCGAAATGAAAAATAAATGGATAAATTATAATGCAATTAATGATATTTCTATTATAGTATACTAAAGTTCACTCAGATAAAGAATAATTTAAAATCGAAACAAACAAAAAAAGAAAAATAATACAACCAAACAAACATTTGGTCCGTCCGTAGCGCTTTTCTGGCTTTACTTTCACCAGGAACTCCCAAACTCAAATTTAAAAGCAAAGAATATATTACTACTTGAATACTTGACGAGTTTTATGACGAGAAGGCACTATTGCTCATTGTTGAAGACCGTACGACGTTACCCTTATAAACCTTAGAAAACCAATGCATTGATGTTTGATGTCACAATTTTAAACATTATGTGCTATGCTCCGCTCGACAAATACGACGACATTTTAAAATTGCTGATTTTTAAATTCATTTTGATTTTTCAGTTTGTTAATTCATTTAACTCACCTTACATAATCTTCATAACACAACAAATTACTACCGTTGCCATAGCAAATGTTTCCTAGTGGTTTGTCACACATAGAACATTGTAGACATGACGGGTGCCAAACTTTGTCATGGATACGTAATAAAGATTTGTCGTATATAATGTTACCACATCGAGCACATCCTGGAACACCTGAGAAAGAAATACAATGTAATTATATGTTTTAGTGTTCAGATTAAGGAAACGTGAATAACCTTTTATAAGTAATATTTTTGATTGCACAATGACTGGCTAGTAAAAAATGGGGAATTGATATTCACGATATTTTAATGGACTTGCAAAAGACGCTCTTTTACATTTTGTTTTCCGTATTGTGTGAAGTAGTTTATACTTCTACAATTAAAATTGATGGTGTTTGATGTTCATTATTATTAAGGATAGTATGTTGATCTCAAGGGGTCTTGTTCGGTTCTACCCTTAAGGTTGGCCTATGTATATAAATATTGTTAACTCTCCCATTCGGCAGTAAACCCCATGTTAAAGCGTTAAAGAGGAAAGTTTGTTTTGCTGTGTTAGATTGCAAATACATAGTTTCAATTGGTCGAATTAGTGGCATTTAATCAAATGTCACGTGTAGTGAAAGTGCCACGCTTTCTGTACGTTAATGAAGCCTTGCAACAACTCTTTCAGGGGTCCGTACGTGGTCTATTATAAAATAACTGCCACTATCCAGTAACTTTTTTTTTCATTGGAAGTCTTATTTGCCTGTCCTTCATCCGGGTCGACCTACATTAAAGAACCTAAACCTATCGAATTTTTTGTTTATATGTTGTTCTCCTTCTGGTTTTATCCATATCATCATCGTTTAAATATCTACACATTTCATTGAATAATAATAGTTATACTGCCGGATATGGTTTTCTCGCGATAGGACGAAATGACTTTCAGCTTTCATAGATATATGAAAAGGATTTCGTTAATCATTTAGTTCAACAAGGTAGCTGTACCATTGTATGATATGTTAAAGTGTCTGTAATCTGCACAGGACGTACATTAAAAAGGTTATGAACGTTAGATTTTTTTTTAAATGTGTAAAATTAAAGAAATTAAAGGAGTGATTTTAATTTAAATGCAAGTCTTGGCGTTACTAAAAATTTTATACTTTTTAAAACTTTTAAATTAATTCTAGCAACAGTGATTCATGACAGAAAACTAACGCAAAACACTACCATTGAGAAAAAAAAATACTGAACCTTCTGACAAGCAAAAAAACAAAACAAAAACAAAAACACACAATAAACATCATCTATTTGTTCGCTGATGATGGCTTAATGTTAACGAGTTATATTGGACTATATATGATGAAAGAAACAAGTAAGGACTTAAAATTTTAAAAGTCTGAAAAATTAGTTTTGTACAGTTAACAATGAGTAGCACACTTTCAAATTCGCTGATCCCCAATCTTCGTTTACCAATTTAAAAAAAAAATGAAATTCAGAGATGGACTACATTTCCACTTGCATTATATATATTATTTGTTGCGACAGTAACACTTTTAAAATATTTGTACATACCGCCTTTCCATGAATCAATATTCTCTGGATCTGAAGCTGTACCGGACGTGTTTGGAGATGAATATTCCATTTTATAAAACTTCGACTAATTCCACCGATTAGCATCAAATAATTGATGGTTTTATTATATTTCGTTCATTAATGATTAATTTCCCTAATATGCCTATATTTTCAAAGTAATAAATGTCAATGCGACTTTGTTAAATAGTTTTGATAATGTGAGATGTCTCTGGGATGAGCTACGTTTATAATACCTGAAGTATTTCTATTTGTCTGATTTATCTGAAATCCGACGGAATAATTACAAATTATCTGTCTGGCCTGATAAAAGTCTTGACCAAAACTAGACATAAACAAACGACTCCTTCCGGTGTTTATTCAACAATAACTTCTGATAATTAGGTTAATTGGTGATAACCTATGGAGGGTCGCGTGTTTCTTTGTTTGTTTGTTTGTTGTGATCACTTGCCTATTGATGTTCTTTGGCGGGTCGATTACACGTGTTAACGGAAAATAAACAAAGTGATTGGTGTGGGTTATCGATACTATTAGAATGTCTGCTCATGTCTGAGCAATTCAAATCTATATTGAGACGTATATTTATTATTTCATTTTTTAATTTATTTTTTACTAACAATATTATATGTATCTGCTAACCTGGTCCTTTATTTGTTATTTTTTTCGTTTATTCTATGGTTTGAAATAATTGATGTGAAAAAATTCTTTACTCAATATAGAAATGCTTTAATCATAAACTATAGAGTGCATTGCATATATAATATTGTTCTGCAAATGTTTAAAATTAAAAAAAGATATCGTTTATCTGTTATATGCCCTCGTAGGGCCCTAATTTGGTGAATGAAAATATGCTGTTCTATTCTACAGTATGTCTCTGATTGTATAAATTCTGGGCCATAAATTAATATAGAGATATTAGGTCCAAGATTATTTCATATGACATTGTTTTGTATTTCATATGTATAAGGGATTAACATAAAATAAAAAGTCCCTTTTTAATGTTTTATTATATGTTATGCATACTTTAAATAGACCAGCTACATATAAGTTACCTTTATTACCGATACTTTGATACATGCAACAACATTAAAGTGTAATGAAAGAAAGATTTTTTGTATTAAATAGATTAACTACTAATCTAGTGAAGACTGCTGTATAATTTATGACACTTATTAAATATGTTTATGTAACATTCAACCTATACCAACATATAACAAAATGATATGTATAGACTTTTATAAAAAAAAAGATATTTGCTCTATTTTTATAATTATACATTTCATTGTCGTAGATTTATTCCCCCATGTCAATGATTTGTAAAGTACAAATCATGCATTACCCATATATAGTAATGGTTCTTCTTGGGAAATCGATATTTTTTTTTTTTAACTCTTAATCATTTTAAATACATCCTGTTTTTGTGGTATTTTGTTTTATCTTATTTTATTTCTTTTCAAAATTCTTACCAGAAAAAGAATAAATTTAAAATGGAAGATATTAGGGAGGTGTGGGGTATGTGAATAGTTTTTTTAAATTCAACTTTTCTTTGAGGTGATTTTTTTTCTAATATTCTTTTAATATCTTAATTTTTTTCACTTATTTATGGTGTAATAATTTTAATACATCCTGTTTTGTGGTATGTTAATTTATCTTTATTTGATTTTATTTATTTTTCAAAATCCTTTTAAAAAAAAAGAATAAATTTCAAAGGGAGATATCGGGGAAGAGTGGGGCGTGTGATTAGTTTTACAGGCTCTTTGGGGCACATGTACTTGCTATTTAAATTTACTTTTTTTTTTCTTTTTTTTTTTTGGAATATTCCCAGAGACATATGTATTATATGTCTCTGATATTCCTAATATTTTTACTTGCTTTCAATTATTTAAAGTGTTCTTGTTCTTATCCATACAATATTGCAATACCATTAGCTTATATATGCTGCCCTTCCATTTAAAAATAAAATTTAACAACTACAAATATTAAAAAGTTATTTTACTAAAAAAAAATTGAAACACAAAGAAAGGGAAAAATAAAATTATAGGGGTACATGCCCAAAGCTGTCACTCAAATATATGAACATATAAAACCAAACAAGATGGAAAAACAATTCCATAGACTATGATAAATACATGGCAAGGACGTATATTAGATTATTAGATTGTTAGTTACACGTCCTTGTACATGGTCAGACATTTAATGTCTAATGGAGTGAAAATCTAAATGATGAATTATCTCTCCGGAAATTTCTTCAAATATCTCCGATTTGGTACATAGTTATTTTTTCACCGGAAGTAAATAAACCGCACATGGATGTGCAGCTCAGCAAAGTTACAAACTACATGAATTGATCTATGTTCAGCCTCTTATGATATCGTAAGACTAAAATGTCAGATATTCAGTTAAATCTCATTCAAGGACCAGAAAGAAATCATGAATCAAAGACAAAGCACCGTGGAAATAGGGTATCTAATCTTACAAAACAGCAAAACACCTAGCTGCGGAACCGTAACTCTAATGCTAGTATTGGTCCTTATTATATTTTTTGATTTGTACGGACCGCAAATTGTCAAAAAATAGCATAAGGACCTATGAGCTACGGTTCCGCAGCTACAAAACACCCTGCTACAAATTATTCATCAAAAAGGAATAATTGACAAATATTATATGGCGTGTTTACACCATAATTTCAACCATAAATACAGAAAAGTACAGTGCAGACAAATTGGTTCATCTTTCATGTCGATCCGTCCCAAGTCGATCCTGACCAACATTTAAAGTCCATCTGTCCCCAACATAAAAATATTTAAAAGGAATAAAAATAAAGATATATAGGAATTCAGTGTCATTCCTGAATGTTTTATGAATTTTATAATAATATGAAAAGTGGACAGTAAAAAAGTTGGCCTTTGACATTTGAATATTAAATTTTCATAAGATGAGATATTTATTTGAAAATTTTTTTGAAATTTATTTTAAGATATCATATAGAAATATGATATTATTTTTTATACGCCCGTGTACAGGATGTATTATGGTATACTGTTATCCGTCTGTCCGTCTGTCGTCAACATGTCGGACATTAACTCAAAAATGATTTAACCAATTTGCATAAAACGTTGGTGAATTATTTATATCTATTGACGTGAGCTCCCTTTCGTATTTTATAAATTTTAGATTTTACGTTTCCGAGTTATGGGGTTTTATTCATTAAAAAAAGGGGGATTTTCCAGTTTTCGGACAATAACACAAGAATGTTCACCAACTTGCAAGAAATTGTGGTGAATTGTTTATATCTATTGACATGAGCTCCCTGTCAATTTTTATAAATTTTAGATTTTACGTTTCCGTGTTATGGGGTTTTATTCATTAAAAAAAGGGGGATTTTCCAGTTTTCAGACAATAACTCAAGAATGCTTTCACCAACTTGCAAGAAATTGTGGTGAATTGTTTATATCTATTGACATGAGCTCCCTTTCGATTTTTATATATTTTAGATTTGACGTTTCTGAGTTACAGGGTTTTATTCATAAAAAAAGGGGGATTTTCCAGTTTTCGGACGAAATATTTATGTCTCAGAACATTAAGGTTCATCTGTTCATATGGACCCTAAGGCTTTGGCTAAAATGGCTCTGTTTACACCACAAAATTTATGTTTCAGAACATTAAGGTTCATCTGTTCATGTGGACCCTAAGGCTTTGGCTAAAATGGCTGTGTTTACACCACAAAATTTATGTTTCAGAACATTAAGGTTCATCTGTTCATGTGGACCCTAAGGCTTTGGCTAAAATGGCTGTGTTTACACCACAAAATTTATGTTTCAGAATATTAAGGTTCATCTGTTCATGTGGACCCTAAGGCTTTGGCTAAAATGGCTGTGTTTACACCACAAAATTTATGTTTCAGAACATTAAGGTTCATCTGTTCATGTGGACCATAAGGCTTTGGCTAAAATGGCTGTGTTTACACCACAAAATTTATGTTTCAGAACATTAAGGTTCATCTGTTCATGTGGACCCTAAGGCTTTGGCTAAAATGGCTGTGTTTACACCACAAAATTTATGTTTCAGAACATTAAGGTTCATCTAGATCTGTTCATGTGGACCATAAGGCATTTGCTAAAATGGCTGTGTTTACACCACAAAATTTATGTTTCAGAACATTAAGGTTCATCTGTTCATGTGGACCCTAAGGTTTTGGCTAAAATGGCTGTGTTTACACCACAAAATTTATGTTTCAGAAAATTACAAACTTAACTGGATTTTGCTGTCTAATTTTTCTTAGTCCTTTTTTCATGAGAGCAGAAGAGTCACTGCCCTTGTATATTGTAAACGTTTATTGTTTTTATCTCTGATTCAGTGATTGTGAGTCTTTATTAATATAAGGAGATGGGGTATGATTGCCAATTAGACAATTCAACTATCCACCAGAGTCCAAAGGATGTGAATGTAAGCAACAATAGGTTACCCTACGGCTTTCAACAATGAGCAAAATCCATACAGTATTGCTATAAAAAGGCCTGATATGACAAAACAGTTAAAGAAAAAACAAATATGTTCTCAATATGTCCATACTGTTACTGGTATACTTATTGTTTTTCAAGGAAAAAGACTTTTCTCGGTTTGAAACTTTCTGAAAGATACAAAATGTCTCAATATAGGTACTGATCGACGAAGTGTATGAAACAAGCTGCATTCATTACAAAATCAGCAACTTTCCAAGATTTTGGTGGAAAGGGACAACATTTAATGGTGAAACAATCTCCACACAAGTTAACTATTAAAACACGAACTGACAACCCGGTTAACTATATCTCTAAATGACATGTAAAGGGATGAATATAAGCATTTTTTTACTATACTAAAAGTAGATCTATTACAATGAACTTACATTTACACATTACATATTGTATGTCTGATGTTAAACCAATGATGAAGTGTAATCTTACCAGACTTATCAATGTTAAACTAACCAGACCTAAAATGTATCAATGTCATTAATGTATAAACTAGTAAGTAAAAAGTGAAAACTAAACAGATCTATCAATATAATAT